AAAAAAAAAAAAGAAAGAAAATGTTGAACTTGCGCAGGTGATCGGAAGAGAAATTTTCAGCGAACGAACCAAGCAAATATCCGGAGGGGTTCGAGGGAGTGGATAGGCAAATCGGGTTGAAATCAAGTGGTGGTAAATGCTCGAGGCAGGCTGCTAAGGCAGTATCTACGAAAGAAGAACCGACGAAGGAATTCCCAAGGATCGAGATGAGATAGCGTGTGTGCGCGGGGGAGGGGGAGGAAGAGGAGGATGGAGGATAAACGAGGAAGCAAGAGGAACTGACGTGCAGCTCCGAAGCGGAAGTAAGTCCTTTTCTTCGACTTTTCCAGCTGGCATCGTCTTCTCCGATCATATTTACATTTTACTCGTGAAATTCGCCCGGGGATCCGTTAGATCCGTTTACATCACTCGCGAGATCTTATTGACCCCATTAAAGTTCCCTCATCGACGTTGTTGCGCCTTATCGATTGACAGTGCTTCTCGACATTTCCTCGAAACGAGCGTGTACGTATTCCATTCCCGTATACTGTACCCAGGGAGGATCCGAAATAAACAATATTTTTTGTACGGTGATAAATATAATTTCCTATTTTTTTCTTTTTTAAATCGGAAAGAGCGAAGAACAGAAAGAAAAGAAAAGAAAAGAAAAGAAAAGATGTGACGCGTCTTTCTTGTTACGCGGAATCTCGCTTTGAAATGAAAGTTTACGTTACATTTCGAAATAATTTTTGGAAATAGAGAGATACGGATAAGCGCGGATAAAAATGAAAACGTGTTCGAATCATTCATGCGCAAACTTGGGATAAAAATTCGATTCGAGGATTATGTTGGATTTGAAAAAGTAAGGAAACATCTATAAAGCGTATAATCTATAAAGAAAATATCTCTCGTCACGGTGGAAAGTCACGTAGCTTACCGAGAGGAAATATTTGACAAACAAGAGGAGAGCTTTCGACGCGGCTCAATCACGATCCTTGTTGAAAACTCGATGGAATAAGATTACTAGGTTGTTTTCGATGGTCGGGGGAACGGCGTGAAAAACGTCGGGCGCGGTTGAATTTCCCGTTCAACCGTGGAAAATCCAGCGGAGAAAGTAGCAGCCGATACTTTGCGGAGGACAATGCGGTACACGTGCTCGGCCGACCGAAAACTGAAGGGATCGATCCTTGGGCGTTTATCGGGAACGGCAGAGGCGCTGATAAAATAATTTGACGCTGCCTGGCCGCGAATAATGGGCGGACAGAATGAAAAGAACGCGAAAGAGCGAAAGGGATGGGAGTACAATGGGACGATCCCCATTGTGTATCTATTCTCAGCCAAGGTTCGCGGGACACGCGACTAATTTTCGCTTCTGAATAAGATTATGATAATAAAAATGAAGACCTTCGAGGCTCCCTTCACAGGCTTCATTTTGTTTCATTCCTTTTTCCACTTCACTTGATCCATTTTTTCCTCTTTCTTTTATCTTTTTCTTTTAAAGAGTTCGACGCGTTTGCTGCCATCAAGAAATATTATAGACGTGCCACGTGTAACGTATTCCTAGTTGTATGGATAAATTAATAATACACCCACATGGTCCTGGCAATGATGGTGAATCTTTGATGTCGCAAAGAATATGATATTAAATTACGTGTCAAAGAGCGACATCGATATGTCTTTTAGAATCTGTGATTCGTCGATTCTTATCGTTGCAACGTTGAAGCGTTGTCGATGAATGGCGCCCATCACATGCCAAGTCGACAATGCTGTGAGCTGCTGGTGAGTGAGATGATTCGTGTAAGAAGAAAAATAAAAAAGTGGAACGTTCGCGAGTTTTACCGAGAAACGTCGACGGGATCAATGGAAGATAAATGATTCATTCTTTTCTGGAAGATACATTCGTTCCGAAAGTATTCTTTCTTCTGCCATTTTTGCCCTGTTTTATTGTTATATATACGATTATTGGAGAAGAGAGAGAAAGAGAGAGAGAGAATAAGATCTATCGCGTTTCTGTTCGCAATTGTAAGATTCGTGACGTAATATTTATGAGTTTCCTTCCTCGATTACGAGTGATTAAACTACGAATTTTTCTTGACAAGGTACGTTTAACTGGTTCGTAATTACCTTTGCAATCGACCTGGTTCTAATTATCGCGAAATTTTAATTTTCGCCGGAAAATCAACTTTAAATAAGCAGCTCGATGAAACTGGTAAGTTAATGCGTGCACATCGATAAGCTTGGATCGTAAAAATTGGTCCTTTATTCGCCGATATTTGAAATCTGAATTAATCACCATTCATTGGCTTCATTTGAAATATCGAGCACGACCATTATACTATCGCGTTCACGCGGGCTAAAGATTATTTTTGCAATGTCCTAGAGGGGATAGTGGATGAAATTTCGGATTTGCTGCGGGCGAGAATTGATTATTTCTTGAAATCTCCATTTGAAATTCGACGGAATAATATATGCGAAGTGCATCGAATACGGCGTGTCCATTAATTCCCGCTGTTTATTTATCAATCTACTTAACCATTTGATAATATCTCCGTAACGATCGTGTTTCACTGATTCGCCAGAAACGTAATTAGGTATAATTAAACGAGGTTAGTTAATAAACTAACCCCCCGGCCCTTTTCGCCGATCGATCGTCGATGGACTCTAGGTCAAAATGAAAACAGAGACAGAGAGAGAGAGAGAGAGAGAGAGAAATAAACGAAAGAGAAAGATGAAAGTAGACGACACAGACACAGAGCGATAATGTGTCTAGTTAATAATTATTTGAACAATACTGATCGCAGCTTGATTGCTAATGAAATCGTCATTTTCAACGGTGATAATGTAATCTAATAGCGTTGATAAATCTATTTTAAACGATTCGTTTCACATATAAAATAAACGTTCGCCCGTATATACGTGTAGTCTACGTATATTTTGTTTTGATTGGACGAAACGAGGCAAAAAATAAAAGGAAAAATAGCTTTCGGTTAATATTCTATCGTCGAAACGTTGATTTCTTTCGGTAATTGCGTATACCTCAGAAATACCAGGAATTGTTTACACAATATAATGTAAGCACGTGCTTCGCTAGAGAGACAGCGATGTCTGATTAAAAACATATTTTTACAATCAACAATAGCACTCGTGAAACTCGAACAAGTTTGAGTTAATTTCTTTCGAAATTCCTCGAGATTAAAACGCACAAACATCGTTAAATATTAAATACCGCGAAATAATTAATACTTTCTTGGTCGAAAGTTCATTTCGCCCAGCGGAAAAAGAATTTTCGGGACACCGACACGATTAACGTCCCCGAACTTGATCAAATTTCCATTTCCTTAATGAACTTCAACTAACTAAAAAAAAACTACGGCTACTTTAATCGCGTAACATTACGCCATCCTCGTTAACCTCGTTTCGCCACCCGCCATTGTTGTTATCGTTCTGCCGTCGTAAAAAAAAAGAAAAAAAAAAAAAAGAACTACGAGAAACGAGGACAGACTGTGCGCGCGGAGGGATCGAAATTAAGATCGAGAGGATTTCAAAGAGGATTGAAAATGAATCTTGGATCAAGAAGAACGCAGAAATATCGCGCTTCTCGATCTTATTCGCGATTTATACGTACGCAGCCAGGAAGGCCTGCCGAATTTCGATCCCAATTACTCTTCCAGCGGATAATGGGCGGATAGTTGGCAGTTAGCTTGGTCTCGGTATGGCGGTCGATTAATTGAAAGGTAAACTTACCGGTCGACTATGGCCAGACTTTCGAGAGGGGTTGAACGTGCGGCTGGATAAGTGAGAGAGGGGTGGAAAGATGAAGTCGAGAGGGGAGTAGGGACGTTCGAAAAAGGTGGGCTAAAGTGAACGAGCCGATGGGTTGGGTTGCTCGAGAATATAGTTGGTGATAGCAGCACGCAGCATCGGAGACTACGCCTTGGGAAAGAATCGAGAGAGCCAAGCTCCGAGCCACTTACCTGAAAATAGAAAAGAAACAGTTAGCCAAGGTAATACAAATAATTGAGAGAGAACTTGAGGGAAAACCGTAGGGTAAGATAGGGAGGCGGTAACGGCCTTTCTCTCTCGTGAACATCTTTCTTATTGTATTTTCCAGATGTTACGAAAACAAGTTTTTTCCCTTTGCTCTAATAGGGATCTCTCAATTTCGCGAGTGTAAAGTAATAACTCGTGGCGTGAGTTTACGAGATATTTTTCCACGAAATGAGTAATATACTTTTCGGAGAAAAATATATTATTGACAAAAACAAATCTATTTTAAAAGAAATGTAAAAGCAAAAAGAGAGAGAGAAAGAAACTCGGTCCGTCCAATAGATAGATATTTGACTCGGGCGACTAGCGTGGTAATAACCGATCGAGGCGCTAAAAAACATATTAAGTAGCAGAGGAAGGGAACCGCGGAATGGGCGAACCGGTAACAACTAGCCACGCCGATCCGGCGCCAACCTCTTTACTTATTCGTACCGCAAACGCGTTTCCCGCTAGTTACACGTTAATTGCAACCGGTGAAATTGATGGTTTCGCTTCGGACACGGTTGAAACGGTTTTAATTTTACGTCGTTCGACCGGCGTATAACACCGGATCGTTATATACTTCCACTCCTTCTTTCTATCCTCGTTGTGGATCGAGGATTCCGAGACCCGTGGAACCAGGAACGAAAAGATTCATCGTGCGTCGTTAAGCCATCTATCCAGCGAGCTGGATCGCTAATTAGAAGAAACGAAGCGTCGATTAATAGATGATATTCGCGACGGTTTACGAGAGTATCGAGGTCCAATAATGAAGAGTTTGCTCGAACGAAATGTTACGTACGCGTAAGAATAAAAAGGAAAAAGAAGCTGGTAGTTTGGTAATCACCAACCCGCGCAATCCCCGCGTCCGTTTTGCATCTTTGCGCGGAAAGTGAGAGGGACTGGGGAATCGAATGTTACCGTCTGAACAAGGGGAAGTTGCGACGATTAATAACCTCGTTACGGGGGTGGGATCTGTTCTTGACGGCGAATCGCTTCTTACGAGTCGCTGCCCCTTCTAGTCGGACGAATTATGAGGGGACCTGAGCGGACCTGACACGGAAAAGCAACTTTGAGATTGGAGGGCTCGCTCCGGCGCTGGTTTATTGCCCCATCATCGTGTTAATTATTGCTTCATCATCGGTTCGCCCTCTCTTTTAATTAGACCCCTCCCCTCCCGTATTAACCGGTTTCGGGGTAGCGGCAGCCAGTTACGCCTTCGTAATAAACGGTAATTATCGCATAGTGGGAGAAATCGTTGGCGACTATCGCGACAATGCGCGTTCACAAATTTTTAGAGCCCCTCGCGCTCACGAGAGGGGGAGGGTTCGATGGGAAGATTCATTCGAAGTTTCGTTCGAGAATTTGTTTATATGAAACGGAAATATAAATAATAATATTTTTCTTATTCACAGTGCCGGTTACAGAATATCAAATTTCAATTGTACCGAGCGTCGAAGAACGAAAGCAATCGAAGCTTGCTGTTGTTCGAATAATCATTCTATCCACCGACTGCGCGCCATGTTAATCACCGTTTAATGGGATTACGGTGGAATATGCCGATGACGGTTTTTAATAAGTAACTCATCGACAAATGACGTGATTACCGGTAAACGTGGTACGCGCACGCGCTCGAAAGCACGCGCGTTACACGCGCGTCGACACCGTGACTATCGCAATCGAAATTTAATAGGGGCATTATCCATTCAATAAATAATCAGACCGAAATCAATCTAATAATCCAATCGCGTTCATTAAATATCGGTCAATTAAACGGTACGCCCGACAGAAATTGGACGCTTAAAATTAATCGAAATTTTCGCCCCTCGATATTCTCGGCTATTGATCCGAGACATTTAACTCGCGATACTCGGCCAAATCCCTCGACACATTTATCGGATCCTTTGTCGAATCAAAAATCTTCCTATTATGTTCTTTCTTCCTTCCTCCCTCTCTTTCTTTTTTCCACGAATTCTCCAACCCCAATTTTTCCCTCATTTCGCCTTAACCCTTGACCGTTTCCATCGAAGACTCTCCCTTCCTCCTCCCTCCTCTCGCTTTAAAAGAGACGAACGAGCGAGCATATAGGGTGCCAGATCGTGGGGCGCACCCCCGTTAATTACCGGAGTTTTAATGAGCAGAATTGCGCCCTCCGTTCAACTCGATCCCCACCCTCGTCGCCGCCACCCCTTTGGCCGCCAACGGGGTTCGTCCTCACGTGGCCGAACGGATCTATCCGCCCTGTCTCGCCCTGCCACGTGGATTCACGTGGATTCAAGGGATAACCCTCCTAGTGGTAAGGTAACCACGCGGCTCGCGACTCCTTTTCCTTCTCGCGCGAAATGATATTTTCGCGCATGAGACAGCGTGGCGCGCATCTTGAGGCCGCATTGTTAGCGCGGCCGCGCGTCGAACCGCCCGCGTATCATTATTTTTAATTAACGATCGCGCGCAACCGTTCCACCCCGGCTCCATGGGAAACATCATCGGCCGCATTAATGCGGCCCCTAACCCCACGCCCGCTAACGACGCTTTAATTTTAATGAATTCGAATTCCCGCGACTCCGCGCCATTCGAGCGACCAGCTGTCGCCGTGGCTTCGTTTTGAAAATGAATTGCCGGATCGATCGGTCTTTCCACCGTCTTTGATTCGAGATAATGCCGCAACGAGGAAGGGTATAAATGAAAAGAGAAGAAAGACGCGCTACTTTTTTTTTTTTCTTTCCGCGCAATGTGGATAAATTGATTCTGGATTTTGGAAAAATTTGGAGATTTTTTTTTTTTTATTTATTTATCCGAAACGTTGAATAAAACAGGAAGTAATTTTCAATCACGAAATGTTCGAAAGGATGGTTTTCGAACGGATGAAATTTCGCCAGGAGGAGGATTAACTGGAAATATTTTCTCGCTTTCAATTTGTCGGAATAACTCTCTCGATATTTATTAGAAATGTGCTATTTCACCCTCGATATCTTCGCCAAATCGTGCGTCCATCGAATCCCCTATTGTTATCCACGTTCTATTTTTGACGGAATTAATGGAGTTTCAGCAGCGCGAATATCAGAGTGAATATCAGGGGAACAGAGGAGCGAAGGAGCGAGAAGCTATACGGGATGGACGAAAGAGAATAAATGTGTTCCAGCCAATCAACGCCACGGATCACGGTTATTCCACGGTTTCTTCTTTCCGATTAAATCGTCGAGGATGAATGGCGGTCGAACAGGCTTCGTGTCACCGTTTCTGCCCGACAGCTTTCCTGATGTATATTGTAGCGGGATGGTGGTGAAATTAATCGGGATTCGATCCCATCCGAGGCGACGCAAATTGGAAACTACCCTCAGAAACTAGTTCCGCATAATTTCAATGGCAAAACAAATCCCGACTGGGATGACGCCGTTGGTTTGTATCCCAACAACCGCCAATATTCGTCTCTCCGTACGATCCCAGGTAGCCGTAAACTTTGTTCAATTATCTCGATATATTTCCCCGCGAATAGCAATCCTTTTATTATTAATGATGCGTAGAATGATGAGAGATTATCTAATTATACTCCTCGTATATTTTTTTTAACTTTTTTTTAATTGATTTTTCGTGAAAATTATGCATTTCGTTTTTTTAATTTTTTTAAACTTTAAACTTGTTTCGTATGATGTATAACAATTTTTTATTTTTTTTTTTTTTTTTTAGAAGAAAAAGATGTATTGTTCGTATACTATTGAATTATCATTCGAAATAGTATGCTATCCATTTATTTATATATTTCAAAATATATTTTTCATTGATTTATTTGGAAAAGAAATAAGTATAAATCATCGCGGGAAATATGTATTTTAATTTTTAACCGTATTTCGATAAAAATGTAACGAAACGATATAAAATAATTTAATAATTAATAATTCAAAAGCAGGTATTGTATTTCGTGTATTTCGATTATTACAACGATAATATTTCGTGATTTTAAAATAGGGTTCCGATATAAATACCATATGGGGCAAATGCTTCGATAAATTTTAGAAATGCAAGCGCGCGATAATAGAAACATCGTTCATATTACGTTATTTTGTATATAATCCGGGGATTGAATATTGAATTAAATAGTTATAATTGGATTACGTGTTATGGAAACGCAAATTAATTCAATTACTATAGAGCGTTGAAGCGCTTTTTAAATATATCCTATGCCCGTAGGATCGATTGTGAACGTCAAAACAACAGAGAGATACACAAATTTATAACAAGCCTGTTATTTTACGGATGAACCGCGAATAAAGATACGGGAGGTTGTTAATAAACATCGGGCATATGTTTCCGGGACGAATGTACGCGTCGACGCGGCAAACAAATTCTATTTAAATTTGTACCCCCGAATATACGTGCATATACCCAATTATATTTGAAAATATTCGCATGCAGTTAAAAAAAAAAAAAAAAAAAGAGGAAACAAAAAAGAGAAAAAAAAATGAGAATAAAAATAAATATCAGTTCAAAAAAGAAGCTGAGATTCATTTGAAAAATTTCGATGTCGATTGATCTATACACACATATATATATATAAACGACATTCACAA